GGTCCTCAGCTCTGGAAAAAAAAAGACAAAATAAAAAAAAAAAAAAAAAAAAAAAAAAAAAAAAAAAAGCTGAATGGAAGAAAAGAGGAGCCAGCAAGCTGGAGGCAGCCAGCCAGACACGAGGAAGCAGGAAAGCAGGATAGACCGCAAGTAGATAGGTAGATGAGGTAAGTGAGCCTCGGGGCAGCACATAGATTAATAGAAATGGGTTCATTTAAGTTAAAAAAGGCAGCCAGAAAGAAGCCTAAGCTAAGGCTAAGCATTCATAATTAATCGTAAGTCTCAGTGTCATGATTTGGTTGGGGGCTGGTGATCAAAAAAAGCCTGCTACGAGGCTCTCCCTCTGGAGCTGGCTTCTCCTGCCTCCACAGCCTTCCTGCTTATCTCTGATTTGATTGTCCTCGGTAGAAACCCGGTTTGTACTGGTTGTGCTGGGAAGGAACTGAGTCACTCACCGGATTGGGAAACTGGAGAGCACAGTGAGCTCAGAGCAGGGCTTCTCTAGGGCCCAGACAGGTCCAAAGCCACTCTCCACCTGCCTGACTGGTGGCCCTTCCTCTCTGCTTCAGAACCAGCAGGGTTTCATTCTCAGGCAGCTTCCCCAAGTGGAGGAAGGGGAGGGCGCCAGCCACAGGCTGCCTCTTCAGGACAGATGGTAAGGAGTACGTCACAGCTCCAGCCCCAGGCCTGAGAGGACTATGTCTGCCGCCGCCTCCCTTGGATCACAAGTCAAATCCCAAACCAAAACCAGTTGCTAGGGGTACCTGGGACACAAGCTGACCCCTGGAGGTAGAGGAGGAGTCTTCTCAAGGAGGCTGGGCAAAGATTCTAAGTGACGAGGCACTTAATGCTGAAAAGGGTTAGTTTAGAAAGACGTCACAGCCTTTAATTCTAGCGCTCAGGAGGCTGAGGCAGGCGGGTCTCTGCAAATTCGAGGTCTACACAGGGAGTCCCAGCCCAGCCAGGCTGCACGTTGGAGCCTCTATCTCAAAAAACAAACAAATAAACCAGGGCCAGTTAAATGGTTCATCAGGTAAAGGTTCTTCTCAACAAACCTGATAACTTGAGTTGGATCCCCAGAACCCATGTGCTAGGAGAGAATTGACTCTCACTCGTCCTGACCTACACACACACACACACACACACACACACACGTACAATAATTTTAAAGGTGGGTGTATTAGTCGGGGTTCTCTAGAGTAACAGAACTATATACAGAAAAGAGATTTGTTGAAATGACTTACAGGCGTAGTCCAACAATGGCTGCCTATGAACACAAAGTCCAAGAATCCAGTAGTTGCTCAGTCCATGAGGCTGGATGCCTCTGCTGGTCTTCAGTATGTGCTGGAATCCCAAAGAACGTAGACTCTACTGCCAGTGAAGGAATGGATGTGCCAGCAAGGAGGGCAAGCAGGCAGAGAGCAAAGCTTCTTTCTTCCATGTCCTTCTATAGGCTTCTGGCAGAAGGTGTGGCCCAGATTAAAGGCGTGTGTCTTCCCACCTCAAGATCCAGGTTAGAAGCGGAGATCCCTATTCAAATTAAGCAAAACAAAACCCTGTCACTGGTCTGCCCTCATTTTGGGGTTTTAGTTAATTCCAGGTGGTCAAATTGACAACGGAAAATAGCCACGCCGAGGGGAGAGCAGCGAAAGCTGTCGTCAGAGACGAGGGTATTTTAGAAGGGACACAGGAAAGACCTCCCTAATCTGTGTGTGCACATGTATGTTCATGTGTGTGCATGTGTAAGCCAAAGGTTGACATCTGGTGTCTCCGTCCATCACGCTCTGCAGTATCTGTGTGTATGCTCGTATGTATACATACGCATATTTATTTCCTTTTTTAGAATATACAAATTTATAGAGACAGAAGATTAGACCTTATCTCAAGATGGAGAAGAAAGGAATATAAAGCAATGATTTCCTAAGTACAGAATCTCTGTTTTGTATGATGGAAAAGTCCCACAAATGGACAGTAGTATCAGGACATAATATCATTGCTGTGGAATGTTCTGTATGTCCTGTGGGAGCCCGTTCTTGGGTTCCTCGTGGCTTTACCCAGCAGGTCCGCATAGAGGATAATTAGGATCACGGGCCTGAGTGCAGGTGTCTGAGATGGTCTGCACTTGGCTGCGCTGGGGGATGGTCTGTATGTCAAATTGCTCTGATTGGTCAATAAATAAAACCTGATTGGCTGTGGCTAGGCAGGAAGTATAGGCGGGACTAACAGAGAGGAGAAATAAAAGAACAGGAAGGCAGAAGGAGTCACTGCCAGCCACCACCCTGACAAGCAGCATGAAAAGATGCCGGTAAGCCACGAGCTGCGTGGCAGGGGATAGATTTGTGGAAATGGATTAATTTAAGCTATAAAAACAGTTAGCAAGAAGCCTGCCACGGCCATACAGTTTGTAAGCGATATAAGTCTCTGTGTTTACTTGGTTGGGTCTGAGCGGCTGTGGGACTGGAGGGTGACAAAGATTTTTCCTGACTGTGGGCAAGGCAGGAAAACTCTAGCTACATATCATGAATGTAATAAATCAATACATATTAGTGTAATTAATGAATATCATAAATATAACTATTGAATGAATACTGCGAATGTAATCAATGAATACCACAAATGTAATTAATATCATGAGTGTAATTATTAATTATTTTTTAAATAAATTTTTGTTTTTTTGAGACAAGGTTTCTCTGTGGAGCTATCCTGGCTATCCTAGAACTCATGCTGTAGACCAGGCTGGCCTTGAATTCACAGAGATCCACCTGTCTCTGTGCTAGGATTAAAGGTGATCGCCATCACACCCCACTTCACGTTATTTTTCGAGACAGCATCTCCCTGAACTTGGAGCTCACTGATTCCTCTAGACTGACTGGCCAGCGAGCTGTCTTCCCTTCCACAGGACTGGGATCCTGGGACTGTCTCACCGTGTCCGACTGTTACAGGGGATCTGGTGATGAAGCTCAGGTCCTCAAGCCTTTGAGGCAAGCTCTGTAGCAGCCGGGCATCTCTCCACCCCCCTCCGTGATTTGGAAGCACAAGAGGAATCGATATGAATACCTATCTGAGGGAGAACTTGCAGGTGTGCGGATCAGCGAGTGGAAAACTCTAGGACAGGGCAGGCAGCTTCTGAGGAGCTGTTAGCACACAGATCGGCACTGATGGGAACACGTGAACACGTTTTCCTCACTGAAGGAACAGACTGTATTATTTTGTTCCTGAGACGATTTTACAGTTCTTGAGACAGTTTACAGTGTAGCCGAGGATGGCCTTGAACTGTCAGCCTGTCTTTGCCTCTGCCTCCCAAGGGCTAGGAGGGCAGGCATGAGCCACCATTACCAGATGAAGCAGTATTTCTCCCTAAAGCAACATCAAACTGTGAAACGCCTGACGTCTTCCGAGGCTTAGAATGTTGCTACTCATTGTGGAAAGCTTTATGTTTAATCATCAGCACAGGAAAAAAAAAATATTTGCATTCTCCTTTTTTCTAATGATTCATTTATTATGCATTTATGTGCATTGATGTTTTACCTTCATGTATGCCTGTGTGAGGGTGCCAGAGCCCCTGGAACTGGAGTTACAGGCAGTTGTGAGCTGCTGTGTGGGTGCTGGGAACTGAACCCAGGTCTGCTGGAGGAGCAGCCAGTGCTCTTCACCGCTTAGCCAGCCCTCCAGCCCCACTTGCGTTCTTTCTAATACCGATTCATCTCAGGCAGGTTTAGGAACCTCGCCGTATGTGCGAAGGTGCCTATGTATGTGGAGAGTGCTTTGAGGCGGGGCTGCCCTGTCTCCTCCAGAGCCAGGACCGAGGATGGGGCCAACACTGGCTCGGGAGAGCGTCCCTCCAAAAGGTTCCTGAACTCTGGCCCTTTGCTCTAATTGCTGTGGACGTGCCAGGCAGCACTCAGTGGCTCCCAAGGGTGGGTCTTGCTGATCCTGGGT